ACAGAGGGGGAACAGAGCGAGTAGGTGGACGGGTGATGGAGAAATAGAAAGAGAAGTTAGGTGTGAAACTTACACTCTTCCTGCACAGTTGACTGAAGAAAGAACCACTGTTGGCACAATCAACACAGAGCCCACAATAACAAAAGAAGCTCTGCTACTACTGATTAGACTCCATGTGTGGGGAAAAAGGCTTACAAAGACAGAGCTGCAGAGATACAGGCTGTGGTGAGAGGCAAAGCATGAGGAGCAAAACAAACATACAAATCAAGGGTCGCATAACCGCACAAGCAACAGTTTTCAATTTCAATAAATCTGGTTATAATTAATTACTTAGTGATCAGACTTCCTGCTGATATCTCACTTTAGTTTGGTTTCATAATTTCCTCTGGCTATAATCTATAAACAGATTATATTTATGGCCAAATGGGGCAAATCTCAGTTGGGGGTATGCTGCTTTGCTCTCTCGCTCCTTCCCTTTGTGTTTTTTGGGCTGAGAAAAATATATTTGCACATAAAACGAACCCGTGGTGCAGCATTAGAGAAGCTATAGTCATTAAAAAAATGAAATAGTGTTCACTGTGTAATTTTGAGTATTTTTTCAAAAACAATTAAGCGATTAAAATGGCATAAAATCCAAAATGAAAATTTTTACTTGGCAACAGGGGAAGCAAATTAGCATTTCTTTGCTTTCAGGAAGAAGTTAGGAGAAGGGTGTTTGCCTCTGTCTCTCACTGCTGTCCCTTTCTTTCAGCAGGCCTGCCGTCCCCTGTGTTATTTATGAAATGAGGCCTTCGCTGACATGCGGGCAGACACACAAAGCGTCGTTTAGCACCGGGTCATTTGTCACATCAGAGCATTCCTTGGCACATGCAGGGAGGCTCCCTGTAATCTGTCAGAGTCAAATGTAAAGAGGCGACACAGAGCAGCAGGATCAGCAGACGCCCTGCTGTCAAATCGACTGTGACCCTAAACCCCACATTGTTCTCAGTTAGCAAATTCTTGTCTGAATGAAAGCTGAGCCAAAATACTGTTTTGCATCATGATGGGAAAAGACGCGAAGGCTTTTATGTCAAGATTACAGCAAAAGCAAAAGGTAAGCTCAATTTAAGATCACCAAACGAACAACAAAAATAGGAAAACAAACTAATAATATACTATCTAACGACAAGGAGGAAGACAGAAGACAAGAAACATCAACCACAGCTGAAAAGGCAAAAGTAAAGTAAAGCAGGACATAAAAACAGAACAAAACACATGAGGGGTCTGTTTTCTACTGAGAGAAGTGACCTGAAGGTATCTACTGGTCTGTAGCTGAATCCTCCAAACACTAAGGAAAGGTGCAGTACATCTTTTATGACCTACTTTACCAGAGGCTCCACTGAACCATCCTTTATGAAAGGAAAAGAGATCAAATCATTCCACAGTTCAAAGTGACGCACTGTCTTACAAAAAAAAAAAAAGCAGTTAATGTTGCGTTTTCTATTTCCTGCCATAGCCTGCAGATATTTTTAAACGCACGGGTGAACTGTGAACTATGATTGTATTACAAAAACATTTTTTTAAGAAACCACCTTTACAATAGATAAAATGTCTACGTGGAAATTTTTTTTTACTTTTTTTTAACTGTAAAAACTTGTAGTTATATAGCTAGTACTTAAGGGCCAACTTAAGCTTCCTTCTTCCTTCAAGCTTGTTCTCTTTTAGTTGTCCTAAGCGGGCTTTCTGATGATCACTGTGCCTCTGCTAATGTCACCTGTCCCTCTGTTTGATTTATTTGCTCTTATTCTTGTAGGCTCATTCTGAGATGGTCTGTCCCCACCAAATCATTCAGCTGCATGTCTGCCCTCCATCGTCTTTTGCCTCCTGGAAAAATCTGGCCAGTCACTCCCATTTTAGACTAATTCAGTTCAAACATTAGACGCTTCAGAACTTACCAGCAACGTGGATCAACCTCCTTCTATTTCTGACACAAGTTGTCTCCTGTGCTAAGACACTGAATTCCCCAGTTGCTAATAAATAAACGTTTTAAACTGGATGCTTAAGATTTAAGAAGGACGTTGTCGTTTCAGCACAGCAGGCTTAATCCACTGTCATGTTATTAAAGAGGCTAGAGTAAACAGAATCGGATTTTCTGCACATCATTCTGCCTCGACCGCAAGACATTTTCCATCAAATTCAGGTAAAGTGAGTAGGAAAATACACAGAATATCACTAAAGAACATGATAGGCACACAGAGAAAATAACTATAGGATTAACAGGAAACTAAAGAAAACCATTGGGACTGTGATACTTTATAACATACTGCATCATAGCCTAATCCAGAGAGGCTTATATTTCCAAAATTAGAAAACAGTTGTTGTGCTCAGAGTTTTAAACAATCCTGCATATTATCATAAACAGGTATTTAGAGGTTGAGTAACGTGTTGTCACAGGAAAAATTATTTTTCAGGTTTTACGAGCTGAAAAATGAAGGTCCACTAAAAACTGCAGCATCATCAGCACTCGGCAAGAAGTTGTTGGTTTCAATGCGACCAGCTTGTTGGTGCCTTTCTGTGTGGAGTTTGCATGTTTTCCTGTGTAAGCGTGGGTTCTCTCTGAGTAATCTGGCTTCCTTCTACAAACTGAACACAGGCATGCAGTTAGGTTCGTTGGTTAAGTGTAAGAAAATCAACTGTCTCTTTGATGCATATTTATCAACAAACCGTTTAACACAAATACAGCTACACTAGCTTTTTATCTATTACGTATGGAGTCAAACTTTTACTACTCAACCAGCTCCAGAGAGAAAAATAGAAAAATAAAGAGCACCACCATCCTACATGTGTCTCATAACCCGGAGCAACATCTAAAAGGATAAGATATCAATTTCCTGTTATTATACCCATATCTTTTCTGAGATTTATTTCATCTGCCTCATATTGGATTTCCCTCAGCAGTGCTGGCCTCCTTCTTTCTGCATTTACAAGCCTGTGGTTAACAGGGGTGTGTGAAGCATTTGCAATGGTGTGCGTGTGTGTGTGTGTGTGTGTGTGTGTGTGTGTGTGTGTGTATAGGTTTACTGATTTCTGATGGGCAGTGGGTGTTTTATTTCCTCTTAACATGTGAAAGACAATTCCTCCTCCAGAAAATGGAGGTCTCATCTTCATTAGTACAAACCTGAGGGTGAAGCTCTGCTGTAGATCCAGGCTTTCAAGCAGGGATGTGTCCACAAGGGGAGGGGAAATACGACTGCTCCCTCTGGTGCTACCCACCACCACTGATGTTGGATGAGAACATTAATGGGATCTTTTTTGTACAATGTAGTACAAAGTAGTGTGGTTTTAATGTAGCTGTACCCTATTTATGTATTTTTTAAGCTGACTTCTGTTTCTGCTGTTTTCTTGTATATTGTAGATACAAAAACTGTAATTTATCAACTAATATTGTCTCCCCCATTGAATAAAAGTCCTACATCATAACATAACTTAAAGAATTCATTGTACTATAATATTCCAATAGAGCACTTTGCTCTCAGACTGCAGGCTTTTTTGTGGTTGCTAGAGTTTGGAAAAGTAGATGGGAGGCAGAGCCATCAGGCTCCTGTCCTGTGGAACCAGCTCCCAGTTTTTGTTCAGGATATTTCAGATTAGAAATAATCTAATCTAGAATAATCCCAGCAGCATATAAAATACTAACCTGTTGCAACATTATCATGTTAATTATCATGATCCAGTAAAATATATGACTTTGCATAATGAGAACAGGCCCCCCCAAAATACATACAGACAAAAGATGCATATATGTAGACTACATGTTTTTAATGTTACTTATTACATACAGGGACAAAATACTTGTTTCCCCATTTTGCAAAAAGCTATTTTTATGTGTATAGCTGAAACCCACTAAAAAGGAGAAATGTGTTACTGTATACTGCATTTAAATGCCACATCGTTTTGCAAACTGCAGATATTTGACTTCCCAGATGCTTGATGGTGACTTGAGGAGGTCTGGGGACAGCAGCAGCAAACCCGTCCTATGAAGGATTAAGGGATGTGTTTGATGGATGTAGGATTTAACAGGGGCGATAACAACAGCAACAACAACAACCTAGAAATGCCTCATGAATGAGTAAACAGGCACAAAAATGCCACCAATGGCTGATGTCTGGAGGCGTTTCTCCAGCCTTCAGTCATCCAAGCGGCAGAGCAAATGATGGAGAGGAGAGGATCAGTGAAGTCAGCCTGAACCAAGACAGGATGTAGGGGCATCAACCTTCAAAATAAAACACACCTTGCGCAAAAACTTGATAAGCAAGTTTGAGGAATAGCTTATAATGATATCATTAAAATATTACTGAAGAAATATTGTCGGTATAACTGTATTTTTTTTAACCCTTATTCTATATTTTTGTCTTGTTTTGATTTTATTTGTCTGTAATTTTCTTATCTTTTAAACTTATTTGTTTTGAATTTCAATTTATTTTCAGTCCATACAGTTTAGAGGCAGGATTACATAAGTTTACTCTTCGTCCTACTCCTTTTCCAGTATGTAAACTGACCGGTCATAATGTTGTTGATGGCAGTTCAGTATCCCTTTTCTTGTTTATCTGTTTACAATGCTCTTTTGTTACTTATTTGTGTTTTCTTTTTCTTTTACATGTCCAAAATCAATCAAAATGTTTAGTTTGAATTTTACGCACTATTAGTTTTAATCTTTTTAAATGCTCATATTGTAAGGGATACTTGTGGGGGAGGTGGGGGATCAGATCAGCTTTTGCACTAAAAAAGACTTACAGCCAAGTGAACTTTTTATATAATAATAATAATAATAATAATAATAATAATAATAATAATAATAATAATAATAATAATAATATGTTTATTTATTCCTATTATAATTTAGTCTCCTTGGCTTGTAATAATGATTGATTAATAGACTCATTGAAGAGTTATCCTTGTCCTTTCAGTTATCCTGAAAATGCAGCTTCCTCTAACGGAAATCTTTTAGGACCTCGCCTAACTTTATGCACTTTTCAGATAAACAGATCAGTCAAAGTATCAGTAACTATCGGACTACTTAACTGAGAGGATCCCTGCTGCCAGGGATCGGTTCACTTTGCTTCAGTTTAGCTGCGGGACAGCTGTGAATAAACGCTGGTTTTTGAGTTCCGGGGGTTGCGCTTACCTGAGGAGCAGAGTGCCAGGCAACGGTTTCCGCTCGTGCCGTGTTGTGGTGACTAGCCATAGTCATTAGCAGGGCTAGCTAGCTGTATGACTGGTGTTGCTGCAGCATAGAGAAAGCGGCAATTAGCCAGCAAGCAGGCTACACTCACTCGTCTGTTTTCTTGGTTCTCTTTTTAAGACAGTTCGCCATCTCTGCTGATAACACATTATGTGCTGGGTGCTGCAGTAAGGTGAGTGTCACACAGCCTCAGGAGTTTCACATGTAAAGTCGTTAGCCTGGAAGCTGAATCACCCCGGTTAGCGGCGGACAGCGGCGCAGACTACTCCCTGGATTCCCGAGGAATTCCACTAATTTGTCCGTGTTTAAAACGTGTTTTAGTGGGGTCTCATTTTCAGGTGGTGCATGTTGTTGCAGCTTTTGTTAACTGTGTGGTTGAAAGAGCTTGTTTTAGTGTGATGTCAGTGCTTCTCTTTCATTATTTCATTGCAGAAATTCAAATTTTATTATCAAACATGCTAGCAAATAGCCCCCCCCCCCCGACACGTCGTGTTGGCAGCATTAAGTGCTGCTGCATTCTTATACATGAACAAAGTGCTCTGCAGATAAACTGTCTTGTTGTAACATCTGCAGAGCTTAAGCCAGTGATAACGGAGCAGCTGCTTTACGTAAATTGCATCTCTATAACGTTTAGTGGGTTTGTGACATAGTCAAAGATACTCCGGGCTTTTCTGTGTTTCTCTACCGACTGTGTCTTTTCCCCTCCTTTCTTTTGCAGGAAGGTCAGCAGATGGAAAAATGATATTTATACCCAGTGGATTACTCATCACGCCTTTCGAAATTGTGGAGTGCTTTTCTCCTTAGCATCATGCGTTTCTACAAATCAAGCCTAGTCTCCTGCTGCAGAGATTTCACCTCCTTACGTTTGGATTTATCCGCCAGTTTTTAAAGACGGTCCTCATCATCTTCTTCTTCTTTTTAGTGTCGTTCTTGTTATTATTTTTTAAAGTGCTTCCGGTAAAACATTAACTATGTGTCTATGCGGGTTGGATATGCTCAGATAAACACAAGCGTGAAGTCGTGCGAAGGGAAGCCCAAAGAAGGAAGTCCAGGACGGGATAGGCACGCAGAAACTACCCCGCGTCCCAAAGAAACATGGCCTCGGTGTGGAAGAGACTGCAACGTGTGGGGAAGCATGCGTCTAAATTCCAGTTCGTGGCTTCCTATCAGGAACTAATGGTGGAATGTACTAAGAAATGGTGAGTTTTTAGCGACCACATTGCTGTCATTGAAGCCTAGTGAAAACTCTCTCGCTCTCTCGCTCTCTCTCTGTGTGTGTGTGTGTGTGTGTGTGTGTGTGTGTGTGTTTTGGAATGTCGAGCTTGTTCCTGGTGGCCATAATTCACACACACATACACTCACAGTCTCCTTGGTGTACAGGCATGTCTGTATGCAGGGAGGAGCCCGGCTGGCTTTTAAAATGTTTCTTTTTTTCTTGTGTATCGATGTGGATTTGGTGCAGTAGAGAGATTTCACTTCAACCAGATGTGCTGGCTTCACTCCCCTTCTCTTCCTCCGCTCACTCCTCTGTTGATATTCTTGAGCAAACCACTAGCAGCTCTAGGGATGCTTTTGGGAATCTCAGCTTGACCTCCAAACTCACCATATATACAAATTATTAATATAACCAGTTAAGTCTCATTCACAGGAAAAATCTAATGGTTAATGTAAACAGTCACATAAATACAACTCAAGAACAGTGTAAGTTGATGAACTCCAGACACACAACCTTTTAAAGGTTGTGTGTCAGATTAAGTTTACATGAAGTCACATTGATCAACAGGAGACTGCAGCCTTTAAAAGTGACAGTTTAAAAGTGACTTAAACTCTTGATTATGGTTTTTACACATGTATGTACAGAGATGAGAGGGAACCAGCCCAAGTAGAAAACCAAGCAAATAGCTAGGAAAGTCTGCAGACATGCAGAGAACAGTGATGTACATGATTTCCACAGCGATTGATAAAACATGTAGCTGCTTGTCAGAGGCGTTATTAAGTAGCAGATTATCGTACTCTGATAAAGGTTTAAAAAGTAGCAGAAATCAAGTGTTTACTCCCATTTGAGAGAGAAACAGGATAAGTTGAGATTTACTCTGGACTCCAGTATTAGGTGTTTTAAATCAGCGGTCCCCAACCTTTTTTGCACCACGGACCAGCCTTTAATGCGTCGCGGATAAATACAACAAAATAAAACTAGTACCCATACCGAAAAAAAAGAAGATTTATTCATAACACACATGAAAAGACCCAGGAAAACAGAGTTAACAATCAAAACGATAACAAAATAACGCTGAAAACCGATTAAAAAACCCTGAAAACCATACTTTTCACACCTGAGCCTCAACTCTTGCGGCCCGGTACCAAATGACTCACGGACCTGAACGGGTCCGAGGCCCGGGGGTTGGGGACCGCTGTTTTAAATGCCAAGCTGTGATCTACACCATTTGAGTTTCAGCCCTTTGTGCCTTTTTTGCTTTTTAGGATGATGAGGTGCTTTTGCCATTAACAGATGCCAAAGTGAAGTCATTAATTACAGAGTTTCTTAAAATTAAATGCACTGCTTTTCCTTTTGTGAAGTTGCCAGCTTTACTGCACAGGAGTGAAAATAATGTTTGAACAGTAAAGATTTAAAATGATATTAATTGGTAGTGTAAATTTATAAATTTACATGTAAAGGTAATAGACATCTCGTTCTATGTACCATCAATGTTCTTAATAGATCAGTCATTACATGAAGAATAATTTAACCAGAAGTAATACTTTCTGTTGTGTGTCAGGTTTTAAAGGGTGCCTTTTGAGGCATGTATTTCACAAGTCTTGGCTTATAGGACTTGTTTTTTGTTTATAGATATGTACATTTTCACTTGTGTGTAATCATACTGGCATCACCACAGCAAGAATGCTGGTTATTGAATTAATAATTAGACTGTTTTGCAGGCAGGTCCTTGCCCTCCTGGCTTTAAAACCATACTAAGACATCCATACATACCCTTAAGTGACACGAATCTCATCCCTGCTTCTTTTAGTCAGATGTGAACGCTGTTAGAAATATGACAAAAATGATCTGCACACTTACATACTCTGCAATAGTAACATACATGCAGTGTTTTTAATCGGTTAATATTGTTTAGTTTTAGTTTAGTGGCTCATCTTGTGGTTGTATGCCAGAAATATTTGAATCTATGAAAGAGGCGGACGAGCTGTGCTTTTAGATGTGGAGATGAAGTGGAGAGATAGGTAGATACGTGCTACAGTTATGCCTGCAGCTGTGTGCCCTGTAACGAGGGAAAAGCTTGGGCTTGTAAGGTAAAGATGTAGCCTGCAGACACAGATTCTCAAGTAGCGTGCCGTAGGCGTGACTAACACAGCCCCACAGAGCTTCGACCTGGGACAGATGTTAACGTGTTGGAGAAAGGAATGACAAAAATGTACCTCTCTTCCCAGAGCAAAGGGTGGGTGGGCTCAGCTCAGTGTCAGTAGTACACTTTGTTTTGCAGTCTTGAGATGTGCTTTCATCTTATGATATGCCAGAAATGTGTATACAGAGCCATTTGTTGTTATATAATACAGTTCTTATCTATAGGTAATCAGCACTGCAGTGATTTATTGATCCTTAGAGATCAAGTGCTTTTGCATTTTGCTCAAAGCTGTGAAGATAAGTTGAACCCAAATTCCTGTGTTACAGCAGTCACAATTGTAGACACAATCTGTAACCAAACTGCTTAAACAGTTTTCAACCAGTTTCTTTCTTGTATTTGTATATAGGCATATGAAACATTGTGTGTCAGATGCACCAGTTTTTGTCAAATTAGAGTATCAGTCATTCTTGTGGCCAGAAAAACTATTTTAAATGTATCAGGTGAGCAGTCACTTCAGGGCTGTAGTGGGGTGTTTCAATCATATTAGAAGCAGCCCCCAGAGCTCAAATGGTTCATAACGTCTTAAAAAAAACAAAGCCAAAAACCAACTGAACCAAAAAAAAGCCCATAGTTCTTTTTAATTTTCGTAATCAATAACAGGAAGAAAAAGGCTGAATGCTTACTTTGTGTCAGTACTCCTGCATGTGCCTGTATGTACACGTGTGGGTGATTTGTGCTTAGTGTGAAATATAAAAGCATTTCAAATATTCAAAGGCTCAGTAGAGTAATCTCTACAATCTTGATAACTGGACTTCAAATAGTCACTTCAAGGACGTGTTTTCCTTCATGTCGAACTCCTTTGCCTCAGGCTGCTTGCTGCTTCTTGTCACATGATCTTTGGTTGAGCTTGAATAATCTTCAAATTTTATAAAGAATACATGTTTTAACTGAAAGTTTGTACACATTTTTCATTGTGCCAAGTTTTTATGTAAATGAGTGTACTTCTATTGTCTGATTTATTTATTTTTAAATTTCTGTTTCTCTTTGAGTGGAGTTTAATTTCCTCAGGCATAAACCACATTTTTTGTTTATTAAAATATCAGTAAATACCAGTGATATGAACCAAAAAGCAAATAGGAAGAATGTGGACGTGTGATATAGGGATGGTCCCCGTGAATAATTTATTAGTTGCCCTTGAAAGCTTAGGTGTAACATTTGACTGTCTTTTCTGAACTGTGCGGTTTCTGTCATATTTCAGGCCTGCTTGTAGAACAAAATGACTAGGTTTGCATCAAAAGTTGATGAGGGTGGGGTCTGCCTATTCAGCTACCATTTTTGTTGCTGTTTTTATTCACACTGATTTGGTCGAAAGCATTGCAGCGGCTGCAAACAATATCATCTGCAAATTATGCCGGGCGACAGTAATAGCAAAGAGACGAAGCACTTTTGGAATATGGGGAAAGCCAAAAACTGCGCTTCCTCCACTTCCGTACCATTGATTCATTAATGCTGAATTCTCTCTTTGTTTTCTTTGAGAAAATTAAAGGATTTTAAGTGTGCCTTATAGTGTGTAGAATACGTTATACAGAAGAAAAGAATATATATCGTGATATATATCGTTACCGCACATGCTTCAAATTATAACGTGATATGGATTTTAGGCCATATCACCCAGTCCTAACACTGATTGATACTGAGGTGCTAAAACCCCAGTTAAACAGGTCGGAAAAAGAAAACTAAAAGTTAGGCAGCACAAAGAAATGAATCAAAACTAAGTGTAATGTAATGGAGTTCCATTTAAAAATTGTATGTGTGTATATAGGATCCATTTGAAAGAATTAATAGTCATAATATCATTTAAATGTGGTTGAAATGTACTTAAGGTCAGATTAGTTTGTGGAGTTCAGTCTCTGCTACCCAGATCTTGCAGTAAAATTCTTCTTAAATAGGTTGGAAAAACAGTATAAACTTAAATCAACTCATATGCTTAAATTTTAGTGTCTTATTCACTAATTTCATGTATTATTATGTTTTCATATTTTGAGAATTGTGTAAGAGTTTAGGGCATCTGAGGATATTGATTCTCTTGTGATGTGTTTTTATCATCCACTCAACTAGTCATGCTGACATGTCTGCTTTTTTTCCCTCTACAAAGGCAGCAGGTGAGGTCACAGTCGGCTTAAAACAGCTTTAGCTGTGTAAAGATATAATCTGTTTATTTGCACACTGAACATTTTATTATTTTTACTGGTTTACCCACCATCAGATGGGGGAAGGAAGTAAAGCCATAATGCTTCACCAGACTACATTGACAGAAACAGTAATTCAACCTTTCATAACATGGGAGGAGTTCAAGTATTGCTGCCTTGAATTTTTATAAAGTTTATTGTCTGACTTTGGTTTTTTAGCATATTAGTTTGCATCCAGAGTAACATGTTAAAATGCAGAGAAGAGAAATATCTGTTTTCTGTGAAAGACAGATTTTTTTTGTGAGAGTTGGGGTACCTTCTTTCTTACTGTGGCTCCCAAATCCTGCAGATTTGCAAACTGTCGACTCTTACATGTAGTATTTGGTACACAAATGCCTTAAGTGAGTTATTCCTGATTGTTGGACAGGTGTTGTCTCCTTTCTTGCTGAAGGAGAATATGGAAAGTGAGCTTTTTAGGTACATTGAGAAAGGGATATAAATTCTAAATGTCTTCTGAAATCATGTTGGTAAGTTCTAAAGCATCAATATATTACACAGCCCGAATTTGTCGTCCGCTTTTGTCAGTTGAATTGGTGATACAGCCTGTGAAAAAGCGTTCTACCTGTTAAACCCAACCACATCAATCATTTT